TACAAGATAATATGACTATATTGTGCTTACGTCATCAGGATCTATTCATTGTTCTGTATCTTGTGTCTTGATTAAGATCTTGCGTACAAGATGTTCGACTAGCGTGCACTATCTGAATAAGCATGTTTTTTTCTTAAACGAAATATCGAGACGTTAATATGAAGTTTAAAACTACTAGTTTCATTACTCAAGAGACAGACTATATAATCTAAGAAGATAAGCTTTCCATTAGTTGTAATTGTATCAAATCGAAAGAATGTCGACGGAGAAAAAAGTCAAAAAGGAAAAAATGTCGAGAAACATATATTGATATGAAAAAAGGGCCGATAAATATATGAGAAAATTCTTTCTAGAGAAGCGCGTGTTTTGTTATATAAGTCAGTCTTAAAACTCTAACAAAGATCAAATACAAGCAAAGAAGAAAATTAAAAATGTATCACTTCTTCGTTTAGCAACTGTAAAGAATAATTTATCTAAATATTTCATGCCAGTTATACCAGCGTCATAATATTGTTCGCCAAGATTATCTATTATGGCCAGTATACTATTATTAATAATAATAATTTGAAAAGTAATAAGTGCAATAATAATAATAAAGTAATAAAAATGATTATCAATTTATCGAGTATTTAAAAAAACAATCATAATTGAGCACCATTATTATCTATACGATGCTGAATAGCAATTGTTTGTGCCTTTCTTTGATTTTGTTCCTAAGTCTGAACTAAACGGAGCACACATATAATGAAAATAATTATTTATATCAGGTATTGTCCATTAATATTGCTTTTGGTTAAAAATGTAGACTGGCACTATTATAAGAAATGCAAATTTGAACTATACAGAGTGTGGGTGTGAGTGAAGATAAAGGCAGTACCCTCACACCCACGCCACTGAAATGATCGTAATCCAATATGGGTAGAGCATGAATAGAAGTTCTTTTAAGCTTCCACTAGTTTCTTTGAGTCCCACGTATGAGCAGGCTATCAACACGACCAGTCGGTTACACTTGAAAACGTTCTATTGTCAAATGAGGATATTACTATGTTGTTTTGCAGATTGATCGATATTCGAATCAAACAAGGCCGGACGTAAACGATTATGCACGTCATTACGTGACCATGATTAATCGTTATGTGTCCTGTGTTCATGCACACTGTAAAACATCTTGTAAAGTAAAGAGTAGAAACGTTTCTAGCCGATGAAGCGATCAAAGAATGCTTTTCTCATATTGTAAAGATGAAAATAAATCGTTACCTGGAATGAATGAACAGTGGGATATTGCCGTCTTTTTCATCTAATACTGATGCGAACTTTACTTTAACACAGTTGTAACTCTTATCCTCAGTATACCTGACTAAACATTTATCTTAAGATGAGCATTACAACCACCGTGAAGTAAAATTCATCTCAAAATGCGGCATCACAGACAATCTGCACAATTGTACGGGGCTGCAGTAAATTGGATGTTCTGGTGACGAAGCAAGACTATTAACGGTAGTATCATACTTTGTACAGTCGTTTACGGCCGAACTAACTTGAGCTACACGCTATTTTATTCTTCTGATAACGAAATTCTATATCGAGTTTTGAAACCTTAGTCACTAGAAGTTCGAGTAACTTACAAGTTCTGTTCATTTCAGCATGAATAAAGAATGCCACTTCAGATGCGACAAAGCGCTTGCCATCATCGGACATGGTTAAAACATGATCACCGGCTGCCAAATTCTGTATCGATATTATCTGACCATTCGCTAAAGTTACATGCTGATCGGCCGAAAAACAAGCTAAAAAATAACAATATCGATTGAATGAGTCAGCTCCTCAAATGAATGCTTTGTTTGAAAACTCGTTAAGAAAAGTGAGATCACACTGGCTCAAAATCAAATTTGATTGCAAATCACTGATTCAGCTACTTATACTAACAACAAGTAATAGTACTGTGTCTCAAAAGCTCTATAATATTCTATATGCCACAAAAGAACATTTTTAAGTACGCATATGAGAATCAGATCTAAAAAGCAAATCTAATCTAGAAAGATGGATTTGAATCATCGCGTTTCTTGTCTTTGTTTTCAGAAATCTTGAGATCACAGCAAAGACTTGTGAGACAGTCAAATCGAAATATTCAAAAATATTTTCAATCAATCCCTACATGAAACTTTATTTAACTATGTAGCCTGTTACTTACGAGGTTCAGTAGTATCAGTAGCAACAGTAGTATTTGTTGTTGTTCCTAAAACGAAGAAGAATTAGAATTGCAGAACTCTGGGAAATGATTCATTAGTATTTAATCAATATAGTGATAGAATCTTCAAGATTTTATTTCTCTATGATGACCGTTCGAAAGAATATTCCTGTCACAACACACATGAAACACTTAAGAAGTAATAATAACTGCATAAATACATCGAATTTTTCTATCAATGTTATCAAGTGGAGATTGTTTTACCTATTAATGACTCTGCTTTATCATTAGTCCAAAATTCACACAATCTCCTACTGGAGAGGTAGTACCTGTTTTAGTATCCAGATAAAATAGGTACCAAGCAAGATTTTTGAGATTCTGCGAAGCTTTACTATGTTATACAAGTTTTCGTGGATTAATACGAAATCTGCACGAGCTTTGGTAACAGACAAGATTTTGGAATACACCTTTTTAAGTTTCGAATTTTTAACAGCTTCGCCATAAAGGTTTTCACGCTTCGCATTCAAAAAGTTTCGCTATATATCTAGTGAAGATGACACATTCATAGCATGTTATACAGAAGCAATCCCTCCTAGCTTCGTATAACACACAAGAAAAATGTGACTAATGATATGATTAACCAGCGCCAAGGCGATTTTATTCCTTTTCACCATATCTCATTGATAAAAGCCTCATCTGTAGCTGAGTTGCAGAAAATAGGCTTCCATAGGGCTAGAAACATCGAACTTGAGAATTTAAGCAAGCCACCTGTACATTTAGATTCCTCAACCCCGAAAACCTGTAGTAAAGTTTTATAAGAAACCATTATTTTTGAATAATAGCTTTGTCTTGATCGAAAAACTTGAATTGAAACAATATGACTGTCACCTACAGCTCTTACCTGAATTTCTATCTTATTTTCCAAAACTATATGAGTATCACTGCTTATGGATGTACAGCTCATGCTCACGCTAGTCAGCATGAGCGTGAGCTTTACATCTCTATCATCGAGCAATCCCACTCGAGACAGCTCTTTCTCAGATATATTAAAGACAAAACATACCGATGTTCGGGTCAAATGAAAGAGGATCCTGGGTAACCCCAGAATTTGCCCAGACAAACCCATATTTCGTCCTTACAATGAATGATAAAAAACATGCTAAAATATGATCGGTCTATAGGAAAAAGTGATGAACCAATCGAATTTGAGCAGATTTTTTTCCTTTATTGCGGGGACAAAACATAGGGTTGTCCCGGCCAATCCTGAAGTTATCCGGAGTTCTCTTTCATTTGACCCGAACATCGGTATACTTTGTCCTTACAATAGCTGAGAAACAGCTGTCTCGATTGTGAGCTGTATATCCGTAGCACTACTAACTTTGAGTACCAAAAGGTGCTCAAATGGTGCTGAGATGATGCTATGGTGATGAAAAGGTGCTCAGGTGCTGGGGGTTTCAAATTTGCACTTTCCCCCTTGATTATACTACTTTGATTTGATTGAATAATTTATTAATCCGAGAATATGATCAATATTAATTTTAGAATATGGCCAACTATGTCTTTAGATATTGACATGTATGCGCACATTTAAAGGCAATACAACATTCAGAAGATGAACTTGTAGGCCTGAAAAATTCGGTCTTTTCAAGATCTGTCTAGTTGTAATATCATAGAAAGCTATTAGGACCATCTAAGTAAGATTTGTTTTCGCATGGTTTCCGTTGCTGTAAGATAGCACAAGTATTATATAAGAACAGCAGTTTCTTATTTTGATAATATAAATTTTATCCAGTTTCTCAGTTGATCCTACGCACCGTTTGGTTTTATACAGATCTTCAGAATTTCACCTGAATCCTCCCTATCCTTGGGTCTACTTGTGTCAATAATAAGCGCCCATATGCCAACAATAGGAATACAACCTTTCTTCATCTACATTCGTTTCACGACGTGTAGGCCATCGGTCAAAATACGGTAAGATACTCTGACATCATGACTGACGATAGCTGTGCCATTGTTCTTTCCTCTCCTCTCTTCCTCTTTCATATATAAAGCTATGCTCTATGTGAAAAAGACAGAAAGGGAGTGATAGAATAGTGTAGCGAATGTTGCACATCGAGGATAGCGGTAATGCTACTCCTTTAGCTTCTTGAGATCGATCATCAATAAAATAAATGCTGCAGCAGTAACAAAATACGTCCATCCTTTCATTTTCTCGTTACATTAATCACTTTAGGATTTAGCATAGGAGTTGAAGACTTGTCTACAGACTCAACAGCTTCATCAAAGAATAGCGATAACTGCATGAATTCTTTAGCATTGCTGCTCTTCTCTTTTCGCCAACGGAAGGCTGGGTTATTCATCAAAGATCTCTCCATTTCATATCGTGGCACGACATTTGCGTATGTGACATTCTCGCGCGTGATATTTGCGCGAGTAATACTTGCGCGCACGACTCTTACGCGCAAAATGCTCTTGTTGTTCTCTTCTGTTTCTATATTATCGGATAAATTCAACTCATCACTATGAATAAAAGAAAAATATTCTGTTTTTTATTATTGGATCAATTAATATGGATAAAAAAGGGATATCAGGATGATAGAAATAATTATTACCAAATGAATAAGTATAATTGATAGATAGGCGAGATGAAATAAAGACCAAGTAGACCAAATATAAATATAAACACAAGATAAGTGTACATAGAAATTATTCGGACAATTTTTTAAAGCAAAAACATGTTGCTCATCAAGTCAATTAAAGGAAGCGATCAACTTCTTCTCGTTGGTTTCCGGTATCGTCAAGATAGATTAGTATGGCGTTGTGTAAAAAAAACTGCGAAAGTCCTGCTCGTTATGGTGGAATTATGTTTAAAATGTATCAAGATCATATATGTCAAGCACCAGATCCAAATGAAATTGAAAAAGCTTTATTTAATTATGAAATTAAGAAGAAAGCAGAACAATTTCATGATCCACCAAGATTAATTATACATGAGACATGGCTCAAATTATCTTCAGATGCTGCTATATACGAACAGAGGAGAAAAAAATGATTTTGCGCGCAAGTATCGTGCGCGCAAGTGTCGGCGCGCAGATGTCATGCGCGCACACGTCGTACAATCTTTCATAACATCCGCATCAGACAACTAGTATCCTATAAATAAAGATAGCTATTTGAACTTTAGAAAAGCCTAGCCACTAATGAAATCGAGACAACGAGTGAAGAAAATATCCTCACTTGATTTTCTTTCGGATGCACAGGATATCGAAACTTGTATTTGATAACATGACATTTCTTCGAGTTATTTCCAGAACGACTTTAACTTATTTTGATCACTCTTGTATATGGAATTTCAGAAAATTTGAAAGTATTCAAATTTTTTTATTCAATTCTTGTAGGAAGCAGTATCCAACTATTAAGTTTATTACTTACCGTTCGTAGTAGAAGTTGTACTTTGTAGACATGATTGACAACAATATACCGTTGATGTACCTAAATTCAATCACAAATCAGAACTCTATAATACTACATATTCAATGATTTGCAATTATAATAGCAATAGAATACTAAAGAAGTCATTTTTGCACAATACAAGTTGGAGAAGATATTCCTATTCCAAAACATGTGTAGCAGTAGTAGTTGCTGTTTTTCTAATAGTAGTCGGAAAAAAAATGTAGTACAAGCATGTCAAGAGAGGGTTCACCAGAGACCCGAACAGAGATTTAACACTTGCCAAAAAAACGTCTTTCATTTTTCATTCATATATGTCAGACAAAGATCTGGTAGAGATATTATGAAATACAAAATATCAGCTTGATCTGATCATCTCCAGCTGAATTATGAACTAAAATTGATGTCATGACTCCGAGAGCTAGAATAAAAGGGTGTGGATGTGGGTGTGAGGCTGTGGGTGGGTAGGCGTGTGGGGTAGGTGTGGATGAGGGTGTGAGACGTATAGAAATCAAAGCACACCCACATCCTAGCTATATTGATGAGTATTCTGGTTTTTCGGCAACAGTTGATCTTTCTAGAAGAAGCAAAAACTCTTGATTGCCCGCAATCGTAATGAGTTTTCAGTGATTATTCAGAATTCCCTTCATCACTTCGTTTTTTCCAAGCTCTATATTGAATTAATCAATTTTGACTTTTATTTCCATAATTGTATTTTCAATTCACGTATACCAGACTTAATGCGCAAAGAAATTCTCAGTTTCTAAGATGCTAGAATTTGCTCAAAGATCCAACAAAATTGCATGACAGTTTGACAAACTCTGATTTACTTTTGTGTTTGCCTCTTAGAACCTTTACTGAATTTTTTCTGATTTTTGCTTCTTCGCTGTTCTTTTTTTCGATCTAATCCATTTTCACGTTTATCTTTGGTCCTTGCTACCTGCGATAAAAAAGTAGATCTTGGGCTTCTACATCCACTAAAAAGTGTATGTCCTTCAATTGTTAGTTTTTTAATATCTTAATCATTCATTAGAAGTTTCTTACCGGATGTTTTCGTAAGCAATGCAATTCCTATGCCAAGGGCTGTTCCAGCAATTATCAAGCCAAGTAAAGCTCCGACTAATGCTACAACTAAGCAGCAGCAACAATACCTTAAACAGTTTCTTGCTTCATCAATCAAATAAGGGATAAAATGTGTCTCACGTCTTGAGATCCTCTTCTACTTGTACATATCTCTCTGGCTGTTGCTCGATGTCATTGAAGTTTCTTACTGGAGTTCTGCGCGCTACCATCCATCTATTTGATGTAGCCATTGTGTGCTTTTGTGTTTCTCGAAAGATAAATAGTATGAAAATGAAATTTGTAGTTGCTTTTGTATGACTTAAAAGAAGCTCGTGAATTTAACATTTTTTTTTAATGGCGTAGAACAAGCTTGTAGGAATTCGTGCAAACAACAGACTTTTGATAGCACATTTCGCATCCAACATATACACACAATGCTGACAAGACATTTATCATCACGACAATATACTCGTGCTGACAGCAACGTTACTCGAGAATCACTTGAGGATTCCGATCCATATTAGGTTTAAATTTTTATTCAAACCTTCATACCATGCGTTTTATAAACAAGACTATATATATATTTTCATATGTGAAAAATATTTCAGATTCAGCTGCGATGATACATTTATGGTACAAATCATATTAATTTTACAAAAGAACATCGTAGAAACAGTCTATAATGGTTGATAGCTCCTTGTAATGTCAAACTTTCTTTTATGTTCTCGATAAGCATTACTCAATCAAAAAGATTTACTTAGACACGTTTTACTGCGTAAAATTTTGTGCTTTTCATTTTAAAAAGAAATGGTGTTGATTTTTCGTAGCAAGAAAGTCTTCAGAACTTGTTGATTGCAGACTCACTTTTTGAACAAAACAAAATTCTTCCCAGAAACATAATAGGCCCGCATTTTTACTCATAAAAATACGTTTTCTATAGGGTTTGTCTGATGGGGTTGTGAACGATGGGCAAAGTGCAGTTCGAGCTCTCAACGATAACATACAGAGGTTTGCACTTCTTATAAAGACAATACAATTCGTCAGATTATTACCACAGTTGACTTGAGCAATAAATATCAGTTGAGTTCTTAATTGGACTATACAATTCATTGAAAAAGTATTATCTTCTTTCTCAGAAATAGATAATAACAATAAACTTTTCAATGTGTGTACATCAGCTTGAACCCAAAAGTAATGACAGCACGCTGTAAAAAAAATCCGCAGAATAATAAACGGAAAAAACGTTTTAGATAGGGTATAAAACAAAAAAAAAGGATTGATGAATTTGCAACGATATATTAATCCTCCTTTTTCGTTTATGACGAAGATGATAAATGGTTTTTCCGTTTATGATTTGGAAAAAGGCTTATCAGATATTTCAAAAACGGAAAAAATGGTTTGTATCCCGTTGCAAATCCATAAATCCTTTTTTCACAGTGCATAGAAACGTCCACGATGAAAAAGTCCCGTTGAGAAGATGATCAGTGTACATTTATAAATCGAAATACTAAAGTAACATACCTCAAAAGCTAATCTTCAATGAAGTAGTGTTGCGCTTCAAAAAACACTATTGCTTAGATATCATTCAAATAATTTCCTGAACAAGAGACACAATGCAAAACTTGGTTTCGTACGCAGACTTGTAAAAAATGAATTTCATAATCGAAGAATTTCTTCGATCATTTACTTTCGTTTAATAGGACTTATTGAATAGATTTTTATGAATAGTTGAACTTGATAGACATTTTGTACCGTTTGTGCAACGTTTCTTACGCACGAGTCTGACAATAAAGCAAACTTAACGATGCACATGCCGAAATTACTCACAGTAGCTTCAATCATCGCCATATCTGCGCCTGATTCCTGACACATATTCAATCGATTTTACCTGATTATATTGTCTCAACTCAACATTCTGTCACTACTATAGAAGAAAGCATACAGAATGAATATAGAAGCAAATATTAGTTTATATATGTGGTACCAGCAACGAAAGAGATCACTTGAAATAATCAATATTCCAGTTTCTCAAAGAGTTCAAAATGCCTAACAAAAATTTTAAAATCCGAGACAAGCTAAACATGCCAAGTGATTGGTAATTTAAAAGATTTTTCCAGTAGCTTCTTATTTTTTTATTAGTATGTTTTTTGAATAGTCAATTAAAAGAAAAAGAAATGGAATTCTCATATAATTATATTTGCAATACGAATGCTTCACTATGTTTTCATTGATTCTCTTATACTGTTCGAATAAGAAAGAAACAATGTTTGTTACTATAGAGAGCCGAGTATGTAAGAATAGTTTTATTTCAAGAGAACAATTTTACATGCTAAGTGATCGATACATTAAAAAATATTTTCAGTGGCTTCTTATTTTTTGTTAATATGTTTCTCGAGTAGTCAATTAAAAGAAAACGAAATGTGACTGTCATATTATTATATAACTTGTGGGTAGGCGCGGTGGGTATGATAAGCAATCATGATGTCGACATTTTACATAAGCTATTAGGATCCTCAGATGGTGGGTGGTGTGGGTATAGGTGTGTGGGGTTAGGGTGGAGTCTCAGTGTGGGTGTGGGTATGGGTGTGTAAAGTGAGGGTAGAGTGTGATTGTGGGTGTGAGTGAGGTGTAAGTGCAAGTCTGGGTGTGGGGTGTGGATGTGGGTATGGGTATTGTTTAGACTTCTGCGTGACCACGATTTTTCAGTCACGCCACGTCACGGTCACGAGCTGCCTGGTCACGGTCACGTTCATAGTCACGAAAATTTTTCGAAACTAGTCACGGTCACGTCACAATCACGGGGATTTTGGATTACTACCTTGATTTTTGTGCTATAAAATAAAGATTTAAATTGATTTCGTAGATTTCTTCTGTAATAAAACAAAGAAAACTCGTAAATCAATTAAAATCTTGTGTTTTTTTTCAGAAAAATCAGATTTTTAATATTAAAATTTATCACCAATAAGTCACGATCACGAGCTATTCGGTCACGATCATGAGCTATTTGGTCACGGTCACGAGACACTTGGTCACGATCACGATCCAAGTCACGATCATTTTTCGAAAACTAGTCACGGTCACGGTCACGAGAGGCTGTGACCAAGACCATGACCATGACCATGACCATTTTGCAGAAGTCTAGTATGAGTGTATGGGGTGATGGTGAGATGTGAGTCTGGGTGTGGGTGTTGTTTTTTTCTTTTCTAATCCCTAACCTCGCCCACATCCACACCCCTAAGAAATCACACTGTTCGAAGTACCCATATTTCTTTAGTTTTACCTTTTTCAATGTCTTAATTGCTGTTTGACGTCATACAATTATTCGATCTATAGAAAATATGCCTTGTACTCTGTTTGATTTCCTAACTTGCGTAAATAATTTGTATTGATTTAGGACTTTAACAAAAATAAAACTGTATGAGAAGAGAGTCACATCAACTTATAGAAGTTTTTTTGTAATGTATGACAGATCCAGATAAATCCAAAATATCTTGCTCTGCAATACTTCATCATTATAGTTAGCTTGTAATTGATTTCTTG